TCTCCTTCTCTGGAGACTTTCAAAAGCTGCCTGGACTTGTTCCTGTGTGATCTGCTCTGGCAGGGGGGTTGGACTAGATGATCTCTAGAGGTCCCTTCCAAACCCTTCCACTCTGTGAATCTGTGTATGTGTAAGATTTATCAATTGCACCTCACTTTGTCTGCTATCCAAACACATGAAAGGAGGTCAGGTTTTATATTTGCACTGACACCTCTAAAATCCTACCCGTGTTAATTTGCTTTGCTGTAGTAACAAGAGTAGAAAATACATTACAAATGACTGAACTAGGCAAAAATGCACTTGGTCTGGCATTCTAGCATTTGAAAGTATGTATCGTGAACACTTCTTATTCAGTGGTTATGACTGTGAAAAGGGTTGAAGGCATTATGAAACAGTCTAATGAAATAAAAACCCAGCTGAAACTGATACAGTAATTCTAAAGATTTAATTTTATTTATTCATCTGTACAACAGCGGTGTGACAATCTCAGTAATTGAGTTGCACTTAGTGGTCTTAATTTCTAAAAAGCAAGGAATTGCAGTCCTCTGGAAGAATTGTTTCCAAACTCCTCAAGTCAAAACCAGAAGTTTTCCACTAATCAATGCAATTAAGAGAAATCACAAAGGTTACTTCACTCTTCCCTCGGTACCTCAATCTCAGTAAAAACTGAAACAGCCCTGCTACCCCCTCTCAGGTGGGTGGCTGGTGCTATGCAGACTATGCACCAGCCATGGTTTGCTGGAGTTGGCTGGGCCTCGGACACAACTGTTCTACTAATCCATGTGAAAGAGGGGAAAAAAATTAAACAAATCCATACTGCCACTTTAACACTGCATGGCAGAATAAGCTATTGCTCCACGGAAAAAATTACCCGGTGCCAGAGCCGTCATCCTACTTCCCTGATGCATTGTACCCCAGCCCCCTGAGCGGCCTGTATGCAGATCCCGCTGCGACCTTCCTCAGCAGCCACCGCCTCCTGCCTGCGGCCTCCTGCCTGCGGCCCCCCGCCAAAAAAAACCAGCAGTAACCAGGACGGTCAAGTCCCACCACAACCACCCTCTTCACCCGCGGGAGGTCTGCAAGCGGGGCCTGGGCAGGACTGAAGGATTATTTGGTGACACACGGAGATGCAGGCCTGTGATTCTTCATCCTTGCTCTAGTTCTGCTTACACCAGTGTACACGAGGAGCCCAGCCGCCCAGTCAGCAGGTCTACCTCAGTGTAAATGCACGGGTGACAAGGCAGCAGCCTCAGCCATGGTGCATGGGACCCCCAGTGTGTTTGGGCCTTCATCTAAAGGCCTTCTGAGACATCCCCCCGGTGCCTTCAGCGGGCTGGTGACGAGAGCTCTGTACGGCAGTGCCACGTTCTGAAAACAGCTGTAAAAACGCAGATTAGGTTCTTCTAAAATGCTGACTTCCAGGTTTTCACTTCTCTGGAACGCTCAATGCTTATCAAACGCTGCTAGAACACTGCATGCAGCATCATAATAAAACCGAGCGCAGTGATTACTACATTCAACTTAAAAACCCATTTTTAGAAGCAATTTTCATATTTTATCATATTTATGATGGCAAATTTTTTTTCCATTTTCATTTTATCTTCAATTGCACGTGCTTCATTAGGCCATGCTAGGAAAAAAATAAGCTGTGGATGGCAGAGTCTGTTTTCTTGTGAGGACCCATTTAGAGAAAGGGCTGTGGATGGGTAGCTCCAGCCTGTCCATGCTTCCTGCAGTGGGTCTCATTGTAGAGCCTGTTAAGGAAAGTCTCTGCAGATCAGCTAAGGAGCCAATTAGCAGGGAAGCTAATGACGGAAGTTTAAAGTACTCATTACCATCTTCTGTACAGTTAGCAAACCACATCCCTTTATGGCCTAATAAAATTAACTGAATTGTTCAAAATGCAAAATCTCTAAAATGAAGTTCACATCAAACTTCAAAATAAATACAATTTAGTACAAAATATTGGGGAAAGTAAAAACATTTTACTTGCAAAAACCTATGCTTGGTCTCAAAAGTATCCTATTTAACCTATTAGATCCATCATGGAACACCCTGGCCTTATGCAATACGTGAGAAATAACTGAGCTTGGAGTTGCAATGACACCATCCTGCTAGTAATTGGCTATGTCAGACATCTGTGTGCGTATCTTAAAATGACTCAATGTGTTTCTTGGATTACAAATACTGGAAAAAGAAAATATTGTCTCTACAAAGTGCTGAGTTCCTCTTCTTATAAAAGCCAGTACAAAAAAAAAAAAAATCAGGATGTTTCAAGAGCTTCTCAACATTTTGCAGGATCACACCCAAGGCAGGTTGAGAGACTGATCATCTTTACCAAAGGAACTCCTTCAGAAGTTCCAACAGCCGTGATGGGATGGGTTTCCAACACTGTCTTCCCTGAAGTCTCTTTAAATGATGGCATCATGTTCATCGCTGTAATAGAAACACAGGAATTAACGTCCTGCAGCACAAGCAACCCTCAATACGAGCCCGAGCCCCCCAGCTGCTGCTGAGGGGGTTGTGTTGTGAACAGGGGCCACCTGGCTGCGCAGAGCTAAGGGCACCTTGATCTGGGAGTTGCAGTCCTCTCTGTGCCAAGCCTGAAGTTAACGGAACAATTTCAGTTTGCCAACACCCCTCCAGGTTCACATTTTGGCTTTCACATTTCATTCAGGTACGTATTTTTAGAACAGCTGTTGCTCAGGCATTTTTATCCTATCTCTCTTACCTACACCCAGCAGTAATGACTAATCACTGCCATTTTACAAGCTCAGCGACAGATTTCCTTTGTTTTAAAGATACTGTTGATCTGAATTCTACAATATTCATTGAAGCACCAACGTGGGTGAACGTGTGCAGCAGGGACTGGCTGAATTCCATGTCCAGCAAGCAGGAGTCAAGATGGAGAGAAAAGACATCACCTTGCTTAAAACCAGCTTCTCAATCAAGATGGATGATACTGAATAGGAAAAAGAAAAGCAACATAGTGTTAAGAATTCTGAGTTCTTAACTAAATGTGGGCAAAGGAGGCAAGTCTGGAAGCTTGGAAAAAAACCTGAGTAGAGCTGAGTATAAATGGCAAGTGAGATGGTACAGCTTTGACTGAACTGTGCACTACAGAAAGGGCGAGATGTAGGCAGAATCATAGATGTCTGACTGGTTCTGTGCTCTCAGAAATGAGAGCTGCAAAGGAGAACCATATCCAAGGCAACACGGGACCTACTACATCCTGTCCCCCAGTCTGATGTCATAAAGGAGAGACCAGTTGTCTGGAAAAAGTTGGTGGCAGAATCTATTGAAATCAGTGTTTTTCCACTTGTAGCCTACAGACTGTCTGAAGCCCACAGACAACTTCTAAAGGGTCTTGGAAAGATAACTAAGAAAAGCCAGCTTACTCTCCATAGGCTTGTATTTGCTGTACTGCACCTACACTTCAGAGGGCAAATAGCAGCAGCCTGCAGCTCAAAGGCAGCTGAAAGTTCACTCTGTGTACACCAGTGACAGGTGTCTTGGGGTGGGATCCAGCCCACACCTTTCAATAGTCACAGCACAGACTTTTTTATCTAAGGCTCTTCGCTGCCCTCACAGTGAGTGAAGACAAAAACACATGGATAGGCTGATTCCACTGAATTACCAAAGAATTACCTTACTTTAGGGTAATACTAATGACATGAAATGACTAGTTCAGATGTAGATGCCTGATTTCAGTTAAATGAATTCCACTTCTGATTTCATGGATGTGTGAAAAGTGCATAAAGCAGGCTCAGTGCATACAATTTTACAGACAGGTTTCTGGAGTTAAGAACAAGATAACAGCAGAAAACTAAATATTAGAAATCAACCAGTTGGTTTGCTTATATTGCAAGGTGGGGCAGAAGTTTGGGTTCATATATTGACAATAGTCAAATGCTGAGCTTTTAAAAATGTGAATAATGGCCATATTGCCTTTGAAGGCTTACTGTAATGATAAATAAATAAATAATTTCCACAGTGGTGGCTTAGGAATGTGGAATATTAGATGTCCAACTTGAAATCTGTCTGCTCAAACTAGACTTGAAGGTACTAAAAGGTGATGCCAAAGAGGGATGGTGACAGAGTTCCAACAAGAGGTCATACAGGTAAGAGGATATAGAGCTACTGCAAAAAACAAACAAACAAACAAACACAGTTGCAGGGGGGAGGAAATGCCAAAGAATGAATAGACAAACAAGCGTCTAGGAGAAAGGGTCAGGAAAACCCAAATGTCTTGTAAATTCCAGCAAACATTTCAAGGAACTGTTTTCAAGGAAGCATTAGCTATTAATGGAATAGCTTGAAGACAAGAGTCCTTAAAAAAAACCCCAAAAACCAAACACCAACCCAAATTATTTGACACACTAGATGAGAGGAAAAAACACACAGAAGAGAGGCATAATAATAAGGAATAGCTGATGTGGTGAAAGACAAAACATCACAGTTGATTTTGACATCACTTAACGATATTAACATAATGTACATTAAACAAATGTAGGTATCGGAGTTCATTCTCCTTGTTTTGTCTGTCTTTTTTCCCCTCAAGAAAGCAATAAATTGACAAGGGACAATCCCTTGGGAACTTACATGGTTCTGTACTGAATGCCTCTTCTGGAGTGATAGGCTTTGCATCCGATGTAGAGAATAACTAGGACTCCAAGTGTCAGCACAATGCCACCTACAAAACTGCCCACATCAAATCGGGAGGTTTTGCCTACATCAGCCTCAGATTTTGATGTGGCTGAAAAGAAGAAAACAAAAGGCACTTTTTACAGAGCTTGCAAAATTGTGTTTTGAGGGACTGCTCCATACCCACCCTCCCCACTGACATATCATCTAAAGATCCAGTGAGACAACTTTAACATAGATCGACTGGCAAGGTATCAGCCAAGCACACCGAAACCTAGAGCTCCGTTTTTATGTGCCCGATTCTGGTGACGCAGAAGCAGCTGATCCAACTGCTTGCTGCCTCTGAAAGACTGACTGCCCACTCTCCTCTCCACCTCCCTCTTTCCTCCGCCTTTCCTCCCCTGTTGCTCTTCCCTCTTTCCATGCATATGCAGTTCCTGCCCTTCTTAGGCCAGTTCTAGTATTTTTTCACACCCTCTGTGAGACAAGTGAACACAATATTCAGGGCTCAAATTAACCCAAGCAGAAAAGGAATCGCAGAATCACACAATGGTTTGGGTTGGAAGGGACCTTATAGACCATCTAGTTCCAACCTCCCTGCCATGGGCAGGGACACCTTCCACTACACCAGGTTGCTCAAAGCCACATCCAGCCTGGCCTTGAACACTTCCAGGGATGGGGCATCCACAGCTTCTCTGGGCAACCTGTTCCAGTGCCTCACCACCCTCTGCAGGAAGAACTTCTCCCTGATATCTAATCTAAACCACCCCACTTTCAATTTAAAGCCATTACCCCTTGTCCTGTCACTACAGGCCCTTGTAAAAAGACACCCACCCGCCCAGCTTCCTTGTAGGAAGTTGCTTTTAGTCAGATGAGCACACTGAGCCAGCCTGCAGAGGGGTCCGACTACCACCAAGCCAGTCACTACAGTTACTTGGTGGGAGTAAAATACTTTTGGCAGTGATGAGCTGTTGGATCGCTTTACCTTGTCACATGGCATTGTACCCTCACTCTCCACGTGAGACCAGGTCTGCAGCTCAACACAGATAACATGACCTCAGATAAGCCATAGCAGTTTCCGTGTGAAAACTGGTTTTGTCTGCTACAAACTTCCACCCAAAGACCCAGTCTGTGCCCATCTCTATTTGGACTTGCCACAGGGAGCGTTACTAGTAGTTCTGGTGATGACAGCTTCACCTACTCAATAATGCTTCACTGGCACGTGAGCAACCCCAGTCTGCTGGGAAGTGTAAGCATGAAGCGGTGTGAATGAGCAGCTAACCGCAAGGAAACACTGAATTCTACACTTATTTTTATTAATGGGTACTGGCAAGCTGTAGCGGACAACTTTTACATAAAGCGTGACTCATAATCTATCCTCCGTTAGGGATGAAATTCATTACACTGCTGCAAATGCAGCTAACGAACTCTGTCTTTCTCCGAAGCCGGTAGAGACATTTTGAGGCACAGGTCAGCTGGGAAAAAGGAAGTGTTAGGGATGAATTCAAGTAAGCTGTAGAAGGCAGAGCTGAACACACAGAGAAGTTGTATTCAAAAGCCAGGCTTTCTCCTAGCATTGCTGATCTCCTTGCTGGTGACAGCTGGTTCAGGCCACTCACGTTATTTTTTGTTGTTGTTCCTAAATATGTCAGGTCTCTCAGGATAAGTGAAGCCTTACTTAAATAAGTGGCGTGCTCCGAGTAACATTACTGTAGCCAACTTCATATAAAATGCCCCCTTACTCTTGTTTTTCAGCATGCAAATACCTTCTCTCTTCGTTATACCACTGTAAAACCAACAGTTCTACAACTGTACAACACTTGTCAACATGTACATAAGCCTTTGTGAGCTTGAAATGTGAACTCACCTGTCACAGAAGTGAAAGATATCTTGGAAGTGGTCACCACTGTAATATTGAGTTGTGATGATGTGACTGATGAAGCTGTGGTGGGTCTTGTTGTCTGGCTGGTTTTGGTGGGCTGAGTCGGCAAGGTGACAGACGTGGTGGTGTTGGTGGGCTGAGCAGTACTGGTCAGATGAGTAGTACTGGGGGACACACCTGAGAAATTTTTGTTTGTGATATCACACATAAAGATACAGAAAATAATAAACTGCATACTCATTGACTAAGACAGCATTTATCATCCCCAAACAGAATGGCAGAGTAACAATGAAAATGCCACTGCATGGATATCCAGGCTTGCATATACATTCTTCCCCTATGCCATTTCCTTTGGAAAGGCCTAACTTCAGATTTCTGGGGTTCAAGGTCAGGAATGGTTTAAGGGAAAGGCTGTAAAGAAAACTTGGATAATATCTGGTAACTTCTAGAAGGGTCAAATTTTTTTATAACACTATCCAATTCAATAGAATTGTGCCTAACAGAGTATTTTAAAAAGTGGTAAAATTCTGCATCAAAAGTAACTTTCCATCTGAAGCACCCAACTTTTCAGATAACTAAACTTTTCTGATAAGAACGGATTTTGCATGAAAACACCCCCTTCCCACCCCACAATTTTACTAATGAGTTAGTCTTTAATTTGCCTTTGAATGAAACACTGGCTTTCCGAAGGCTGCGCGTCTATCACACTTACCAGAGAGAATTCTGTATGTATGTTAAAACTTAAGGCTTTCCACACATGATAGAAGTTCTACTAGAGTAAATCTGCTGGCTTGTATCGGTTATGTAGCAGTGAGCTGTCTTGCCACGGTTAGAACACAGATTGGAACGCTATTTCACTAGTTTAATTGACACCGAATGTCCTTAACCATTACCCTGCTTTTACCTAACACTTTTCCTTCCCTCCTTGGAAGGCAGTCATGAACTGTTCAGAATAAAAATACCATGAGGCAAAACTCAACAGTAAGAGATCGGTATTTACAGCAAAACCCTCAGAACCTCACCAGAAGGCAGCCACCTAGAATGGTCTTAAGTATAATCACGTTTTTTTCTAAGAAGGAACTAACAAGAAACACGAGCCTGTTATGCAACTAACATTTCTCTAAGTAGACAATATGAGCTTTTATACATGAAGGAATTTTAGGGAGAAAAAGCTCTCTCTGCAGCTGTCTACTTCTGTATTATTCCTACAGCCTGGCACAAGCTGGGTTCATTTTAAACACCACAAAAGCTTTTCATTAAGGACATTCAAATGTTTAATTATACCCATATTTTCTCGAAATTGTCTAAAACAAGAACAACAGAAGAATAGGTATTTCATCTCAATTCCACAATAAACTTGATATTCAATTTCTGCCTTTTTTTGTACAGCATCTAAAATGCTTCTACAGAATAATCTTCCCATAAGTGTGGTTTAAAGTGTGCGTAGCTGCACACTGTCTTTGCTAAGACTTAAGTGTTGCTGCTTCCAGTACAGATGGGAACATCCAAAACTGAAAAACCCCAAACAATATGACAAGGTAACTGTTCAGAAAGGAACTGCCCTACACAACACTTTTCTGAGACATTTAACATCAAAACTACTGAAGCAGCCCAATACAGTCCCCACCGTAAATGTTATTTATTTCCCTCCTCTTCAACGTTATAGTTGTGCTGTGCCGTAACGCTAGGAAACACTTGGAAATGAGCATTCATTGAGATGGAACAGTGGGAGTACTATATTCATGTGCTTACCTTGTTACAATTAGGAAATTCAGTTCCTCTATGAAGCATGGGTAAAATACATCAGATAAGATTCAGGGCACATTTAAATACTGACAGGTAAACTCTCCAAAGGCACAATGATCTATAAACATCAGATGGTTCCTCATTGTAGAAAATAAGCATGTAAATGTCTGTATGGAAACCATCTACAGTTGTATGACACAAAACCACACCTGGTAACTGCATTCCCAATATGAAAGATATCAAAAGAAAGACAAAGCTGAATGCAAATGTCAACCAGTCAGTTTTCTGTGGTTTGTTTTTTTTGAGCCATGACTTCCGAGTGTCAAACTGGTATGTGTTTCTGAGCACTATAATGACTAATTGTTCCATGCACAATATTATTAAATGATGTTACACAAAGATGGCACTTATTCCATGGGCACTCAATTACCCTACAGAAAACCTGAGTCAGCACAAAAAATATCCAAGCAGCTATCACAAGGAATTTCAGCAAATTTGCACATTACTTTTTCCCCCTCTTTCCTATAAGCAATCTGTTTTTCTTACTTCATCAAGACTTCAGCACCCGCTGATGTAACACTAAGAGTAAAATCCGGTTAATCGCCTACAGACTTCTCTTCCGTGATGTATTTAACATCAGTCATTTCAAAACAGCAGTGGGAGGCTATCTGAAGCAGCTGGAGAATTTGGAAAGCTGACATGAAATGGGCACCAATCTGTTCTTCTGTGTCTTCGAAAAATCTTACTCGTACTATGTTACCAACAGAGTAAAGATGAAAGAACATTTGCTAGTAACATCTGCCCTTTTATCTTTCCTTTCCCTAATTACTTTCCCCCCCAAAGCCCAGCTGGGCTTCATCGAACATCACGCTAAACAAACCCAGCCTGGCCTAGTTAATTTTTATTATTTAAAAAGGATGCATGCCAGTAATATAGTTCAGGTTTATGATGCTTTATTTTTAAAAGAGACAAGTATTTTACTTTATATGCTACCCATGTTTAAACATTAAACAGCTATATCCATCAACTAAACTATATATATAGCATAATGGTAAGAATTCTTGGTGGCATGCACTACTCCCCGAGTTTTCTAACTAAGCAAGAACTAACACAACAACAACTCAAATTGCATAAGCACCATGCTAATTATTATTGAATGATCTGTCTAAAATAAATACTCTCCTTTGCATCAAAAATGATTGAATGAAACAGACTTCTGCTTCTGACACAAAAAACTTCCAAAAAAAATCCCCCAAACCTGCCCAAACCCCAAAAGTGGTCTTTAATCTGAAGAGGTCAAGACATATTCAAAATGGATGAACATTGTCTTAAAATCTTAAAAAGTTAAAAAAAAAGAGAGAAGGATGTGAAAGAGAGAAGTATGTGAATCAAACCGTGTGATGCAAGGCACGTGAGGCCTATTAGGTTTGCCCAACAGTAAAGGGCTCTGACCTCTTTTCACTGTTATTATCCAGACACAGCAAAGCTCTGACCTCTCTAAAAAAACCCATAGGCAGTGTTGGAGCAGAGAGCAGAAAGGTTGGAGTGTCACGAGTGAGTGGTTTAGGCCGCTTAAAAAAATCACCATCACAGATATTAGAAAAGGTGATTTTAATAGGAATTTATGAAAAACATGACTTAACAGAATTAGATGGCAGTGTCCACTCTATCATCTATTCAACATAAAAAAAAAAGCACATGAAAGTCAAATCCAATTAGCATTGGGTAAAAATGCTTTAGCAGGAGCACTGGGTGGGTGAAACACCTGTGGTTAACAATGGCTTTACACATGGGGAAGGCCCTAAGGCAACAAGGGGATTACAAAAACGTCTCCACTTTCCAAGCCAGACCTGCTTAAACTGGCCCACTGCAGGCAATGGAATGTGACACCGCACCACTTCCTTGCCATCAAAAGGAAGGTCTTTACAGAGAGAGGTTTTTTCCTGGTATTTTATTCTTAAATGAGGAAGAAACAACTGAGTGTGGTAGCTCAGAGGTTAACTGGAGGCTACAGACACAAAGCGAGAGTTGTACTGGAAATGGAGTGATGTAACTGGGACCTTACGATCAGCATAAAACTCTACAAATACACAAAGTATCTCAGGGCAGGCACAATATTTCTGCCCTGCTTTCACGTGGCTCTTGGCGCAAAAGGGACCCAGTTCATGCCTGGAACTAGCTTCTCGTCTCTCAGATACCACCTTTTACCTGTGCATCACAGACTGAACAACTCAAAGACATTAATTCTTATCCAGTCTTTACTGATGTTGTGAAATAGGCCAGCGCAAATTCTTCCAGAAGATCATTTTTTCAATTTCCTTTTTTAATAAGCTCACACTGACATAGCCAACAGCTGGAACACTGCAAATACACGTGGATGAACTGTTTGTCTCAGGTTAAACATCTGCTTTCAAACGGTACTAGTTGATATAATACATCTATTTCTTCTCTCTAGCAAGGAGTTTTGTGAACATGTTACTCATGGTGGAGCATCATGGCTGCAACACTGCTGCCTTGGGAAAACCATTCTTAGCTACAGTTCTTTTGTCAAGTTGTGAAGGGAAGATGGTGGTACGAGAAGTAGCTAGAACAATGGAAAAGTACCATGACAGATTGTCCCAGATGTGCTGCTCGTGTCTCACTTGAACTGTTTTGTGCTGTGAACTCTGTAAGAACTATTTTCTATAGTTCAAGGTGCCGTAAGTCTTACCTAAAAGGAAATGGAATCTTACTCAAGCCCCCAGGACTCCATTATACCCTAAATCTATTCACAGTGAAATAACATTAAACAGATGAGCACTGTTTGCACAACAACCTAATAACATTTTTTTAAGTTTGCTTAGAGACAAAGAACGAACATTAGAAAGACAAACTTCTTTCAATTCTTCCTTGAAGTTCCAGTTTGATTCCAGTTCTTCAGTGGCATCGCAAATGTCACTGCTGCCACTGATGAAGTATGCTACCTAAACTTGAAAACCTGTACGGCTTCATTTTGGAATTGTTCCACATGTTGCCTCCCAGCCCTAAAATAATACCTCTCTCCAATACCCACTTTTGATGGATATTTCTTTAGAATTTGGTATGATCTGGGGTAGGTGTGGAACTAGCTTCTAGGTTCATAGTAACGGACCCATGAACAGATACATACCTGCTGTAGATGCTGCTGTAGATGGTGTGGATGACGCAACAGTGAGATTGGATGAAGTGCTGTTGTCTTTGAGGAAAAAAGAAAACACGAAAAGAAATATTACTGATTTCATTTTAACATACTATAATTAAAGAACACACAACACAGTACTCTACTCAGGGTGTCTGTGTCTGCAGGCTACAAGTGGGAATAGAGCAGAGTATTCCATCCCAAAGCAGATGGTTTTATCCCCCTGCAAAACGCTTCCAGATCTCAGTGCAGCAAAAACATAGTTGCACAGCAGTGCCCAAATGGTCTGGTTCTTTACATCTCCT